GCCCTCAGCTCCCCAGACGGTAGCAAGCAGGGTGCGGTGGGCATGGAGGGGGTGCCCAGGCTGCAAGCCTGCAGCCCGCATGCTCCGAACTGCTTGCTCATATCAACGTGTTCACAGGGGTATGGGGGTCGTAGTGCAGCGTCTCAGGAACCCCGGCCTGACCCACAGGAGAGGGGTTGGGGCGGCCCCCTCTGGCCTGGTGTCTTACCATTGTACCCCATTTTCCAACCCTACCCAGCTCACACACCTTGTCTTCCAGTTGTACCTAATGGTTTGTAGTTCTCCAAATACTCCTTGTTCTTTTACACCTTTGGTGTGTTCATTCCACCTTTTTCTTGGCAAGCCTTTACCCTCTCCCTTTTCTCTCATAAATTCTTCTTGTCCTCCCAGGTGAATTCACACATTACCTTGGCCATGCAGGAAGTCCTCCTAAGAGAGCCACTGGCTACCAAGGCAGAACTCTTCTTCCGTTTTTGATTATTCTTTCATCCCACCATGAAATCCGTCTGTCCGCCCCTTATTTCTTGACTGAAGCATATGTAACTGGGCTTGTGCCAGGTTCTGGGATATAAGATGGCTTGACTTGAGCTCACAGCCTACTGTGGGAGACAGACGAATAGCCAGGTAATGACAAGACAGTGCTTTAGTGCATCCATAGGAGCATGAGCAGAGTGCAGTATGTACACAGGCAAGGCTTGCAATAAATGTAGGTATTTGGGGAAGCTTTATGAAGGCAGGAAGGACATTTATCCTGAAGGATAAATTTTGCAGGCAGCAGGAAAGGATGAAGCCTGGGTCTCTTTCGGTAGGATTTAGACCTTGAAGCACTTTGTTCATTCTGCTGGTTCTACCCTTCCACACCTGTTGCTGCTCATCCTGGAGAAATTAAATTAAAATGAACTGCATGTTGGGGCACCTGGGTGGCTCATTCGGTTAAGCTTCCAACTTTTTTTTTTAAGATTTTATTTATTTATTTGAGAGAGAAAGAGAGAGAGAGAATCTGCTGCAGATTCTGCACTGAGCGCAGAGCCCCACTCGGGGCTTAATCTGACCATGGCGAGATCATGACCTGATCCAAAACCAAGAGTCAGATGCTCAACCAACTGAGCACCCAGGCACCCTAAGCTTCCAACTTTTGATTTTGGCTCAGGGCATGATCTTACGATTGTGAGATGGAGCCCCGTGTCAGGCTCTGCGCTGAGTGTGGAGCCTGTTTGAGATTCTCTCTCTTCCTTTCCCTCTGCCCCTCCCCTCCCCTCCTAAATAAATAAATAAATAAAATGAACTGCATGTTAAATGTATATGTATAGGTTTCAATTTTTTTTTTCTGACAGGAAATACGAAGTCTCTGAATCAGAAAAAAGATCATTTATTATGCACAGACCATCTTCTTACCAGTTCCCTGCATCCCTATCTCTATAGATAATGCGATGAAAACCTGATGTTATTCTGAGTGTACAATGGGGTTGCATCATAAGAGATGAATGCTGAAATTATGAGACTCAGAACTTTTTTTTTTTTAAGATTTTATTTATTTATTTGAGACAGAGAGAATGAGAGACAGAGAGCATGAGAGGGAGGAGGGTCAGAGGGAGAAGCAGACTCCCCGCCGAGCAGGGAGCCCGATGCGGGACTCGATCCTGGGACTCTAGGATCATGACCTGAGCCGAAGGCAGTCACTTAACCAATGAGCCACCCAGGCGCCCGAGACTCAGAACTTATATAGGTCAGCTGGCACATGGGTCTGTTTCCTCCTCATCTTCCTCCTTCTCTACCTCCCCCGGAGAAAGAAACCTTTATTCTGGTAAACAAATCCTCTCGGGGTGGGGCGGGGAGGGGGCAGTCTTGGCTTTTCCTTTCTTACCCTGGAGTATAAGCAAATGGCATCAGAGGCTTCCCTCCCTTAGAGGGTGAATGGGTTACTACTGTGGGCACTTAGAGCTCAATCCTCTGAGAGTCTTCTGATAGGGTAGAACATGCTTCAGCATTGTCCCACCAAGAGACAGGAAGCTAGCGTTTTTTTGTTTTTTGTTTTTAAAGATTTTATTTATTTATTTGAGAGAGAGAGAATGAGAGAGAACACATGAGAGGGGATAGGGTCAGAGGGCAAAGCAGACTCCCTGCCGAGCAGGGAGCCCGATGTGGGACTCGATCCAGGGACTCCAGGATCATGACCTGAGCCGAAGGCAGTCGCTTAACCAACTGAGCCACCCAGGCGCCCGGAAGCTAGCGTTTTTATCAACCAACTCCTGACTCTCAGTTGCAGGTCACTCTTGGGAGCACTTCTGATGAGCCGACATGCTCTTATAGCTGGACAACGCTCTCAGGCAGAGTGATGCTTTTGGTGTGCTTATAGGAACTGTCTGTGGGTGACCTCCAGGATGGGCTGAGGGGAAATGGACATGATACCAATTATGTGATCTTATCTGTCTTCATGTGTCTAAAATGGTGATCATAATACTTAACTGCACTGGATTGATGGGAAGATTAGGTGCATCAGAGTTCGTAAAGTGCCTCTCACAGTTCTTGAAACGTAGTCGATATTCAATAAATGATAGCTTTAGTAGTAATAAGTTAACATGAGGGACCAGTGGCTCTTCCTTTGTAGCTGACTTAAGACTTGTTTCTATCACTGTAAGTTGTGATAGAGAAAACAGTGACTGGGGTCAGAAGGGGCAACCTGTGGTTTTAGGAATAGAGATTTCCCTTTAGTGAAGCTACCCATTTGCATGGGGACAGAATCTATTCCTTTCAAGCATTATAAAGCCAACTAGTCTAGTAAGATATAATTAGTTTTCTCAGTATTAAAGCTTTTGCCAGTGCCTTGTACATTTTGTTGCTTGATAGGGAAAATAAAACTTCCATAGAACAGAGTTATTTTGCTTGTAGCTATAAAGAATATTTATCAGTTCATGCTAAATCTCAGAGCATATCCAGGTTGACGTGGATGCCAAACTGGTTGTGTTTTTTTCCTTTGCACTAAATCTAATTGTAGGCATTATCACACCTATGGTACAAGTTTGTGCGTGCATCCCTACTTACTAGGAAGATGTAGGGGTGGGGGGAAGGTAACAGTTATCTGCTCATGTCAAGGGAATGGGGCAGGTGGACTTGGAGGTATATGAAAAATAGTAAGGGAACTTGGTGAACAGGATCCATTGTGAATGGAGAGTTGAGTTTTATTCTCATTTTGTTTTAATGGGGGGAGATGGAGTGGAGCTGAATATGGTCAGTGTTGTGTATACTTTGAGAGGTTCTGGGTGACAAGATGCCATGAGAGAGGGATTGGGTCATGTATGTCCTCAGTTCTACCAGATGTGGCGGTTAGAGTCACAGAGCTGGAAGTGCTGAGCTCCTCCCAGTCGAGGCCTGTGGGAAGAGTCAGTTTTGTGCATGTTACCTGTGGTGGGCTCAGGAGGCTAACCACACACCAGCCCTTGCCCCTCCTCTGTGTTAACAGGCCCTGATTTTGTTTGGCTATCAGATCCTTGTTCTTGGGGAAAGTGGACTCAAGCCAGTAGATGAATCATGTTTTGTGCAAGGCAATCATGTTATTCCATTTGTATTTCCTGGAGCTTGGTCTGAGGTGGTCAAGTGACTTAGGAGAAGTCCGATGGAGATTTTAGGAAATATCTTCTTTCTGGTAAAAAGAGATGAAGGAGAAAAGGACTGCCCTTCTTCCTGCTTTTGGACTGGTTGGTACTGTGGCAGCTATTACGGGATCATGAGGGGGCATCTCCATCACACGGAGAGTGTGACAGAATGGGAAAATGGAAAAATTCTGTGTCTTTGATGATACAGAAGGATGAGCGTCTGGATTAGCCTGGGACTCCATACCTCTGGCTTCTTATAATGTGAGACTTCTATTGCTTAAACCACTTTTGATGGGCTATTCTGTTCTTGAAGCCGAAACGTCTTGATTAACAGAGCCCTGGATACAGAACAAGTCTGGCGGAGGGGAGATAACATAGACACTGACATTAGGAGTAAGCATTCATGGAAGAGAAGAAGAGCTAAGGCAGAACTGGGACCCCTGGAGAGGGCTCAGTCACCACTGACCAGGGGCAGAGAAAGAATGGGGACTCCCTGTTGATCAGTAGCACAGCGAGTGCTCCCCACTGCTAGATGGTGCATGAAAGCAGGAGCGAGACAGCAGAGGCCACTTTGGTGAGGCACTGTAGACTGGAGTGGCCATGGCAGGTAAGCCCTGCGGTTCTCTCTGGGAGATGCAGGAGTCAGGACCAACATGATATTATAGCTCTCGTAGCCTGATGGTGGTGGAGGAAACAGGGGCTTTGGAGCCAAACAGATCTGGGTCCCGCCACTTGCTTGAGCAGAGCTTCAGTTTCCTTCTCTGTAAAATGAGGAAAATCATATCTGCCCCATTGGATTCTTATAAGGATTAAAATACATTAAAATAAGTTAACTTCTCTAATCTGTAATATAGTGGGAGTTTAGGAAAAGATAGTTACTATTATTTAACAGACACCTGCAGAGGTAATGAAGATACTTCATGGTGTACCACTAGATGCTGAGTGAGATCAGGCCAATTTGAGTTGAGACTTGCTAGGGTAATCTGGTGTTGACCTACCCTGATTAGTCTACTAAGAGAGAAGCCCCTGGGGATGGAGTTTCTGGAGACCATTTCTCCTCTGTCCCCAGAGACGTATCTGAAACAATAGACTTTCTTGTGGGGGAGAACATTAATATTTGCCATGACATTTCTTCCCCCTGAGCAGCGGAGGAAGACAAAGGCAGAAGATGCGCAGTGCTGATATAAATGAGAAGGCCAGCCATAAGTGGGTTTTCCAAAGTTCCCAAGGGACTGGGTGGGGGCTTATCGTGGGGTCTCAGACTCCTCAGAAGAGGGAGGGGGAAGATCGTAGAATGTTTCCTGCCCATCCTATCATCGACAACCTCAGTTATAAAAGCACCAGAGGTACAAATGTAATAACCAGAATCAGAGGCTTCCTGCTCACGGATATGAGGGGGAGATGGACCAAAATAACCTCACAGCACTAATAGCAGACTCTGAGAAGCCACCCCTTCTCTCCTGGAGCCCCTTTCTGCACACCCCTTCTAAGTAATTTCTAACCTTTTGTTGACTCACAGAAAGAAGAATAGAAGTTACTGGCGTTTGTAGTAACAGGATGAGAAAGTACGAGACTTCCTGTTGTGTGTGTGTGACAGCTGGTGATAAGTGGAGGACTCTGCACAGGAAATCCGCTCAGCTTCTGCAATGTGACCTGCCTGAAGCTTGGGCGCTCCTTCAGTCTGAATGTTGATGGCAGGACAAAGGGGCGCCTGGACCATGGGCGACGTGGTAGAGAAGAGTTTGGAAGGGCCTCTGGCACCTTCTACAGATGAGCCCTCCCAGAAGAAGGGAGACCTGGTAGAAATCTTAAATGGGGATAAGGTAAAATTCGATGACACAGGACTCTCCTTAATCCTGCAGAATGGCCTGGACACCCTCCGTGTGGAAAATGCTCTGACTGATGTCATCTTGTGTGTGGACATTCAGGAATTCTCCTGCCACCGCGTGGTGCTTGCTGCGGCCAGCAACTATTTCAGGTCAGCACGCCTAGGATTACAGTCAAATTGGGTGCAGGTTGTAAGGAAAATCGGTATCGATGTGAGAGCCCAATCTAAGTAGGTGGCCGTTGTTGCATGTACGGTTTGTATATCTATTTGGGTTTGTGTGTCTATTCAAGATACAAGAAAGGAAGTTATTAAACCTTAGATTTTAGGGTTGGAGGCATATTAAAAGAGAGATTGGTATCATTTAAAAGCAATGTTTATTTATTATGGTGAATCTTCTGTATATGTGTCTTTGTTCCAGAGGATGGAAAATTACTGAAGTCATGGGGATTTTTTTCCCCTTGGTCTGATTAGTGTGTTGGAAACATGATGTTGTCTTTTTTCACCAATAGAGGTAGAGAAAAGGTTGTGGCCCCTCGTTTGGAGTTATCAAATGACTTGCTGAAAATTAGGGGCTTCTGGTTGTGTACAGGGAGTGGATTGGAAAAGAAAACATAACAAAGGTGCTTTTGCAGTGAGGGGCTCCCAGTTATAACACACTCTGAGACCTGGGCTCCATCCTGTCCTGCCCTTCCTGACATTGGGACTCAAGGCAAGTCACTGCATGGTCTGGTTTCCTGTTTTGTCATGCATAAGGTGGGGACAATGATTACCTTTCTGGATTGTTGTGATAATTAAATATGAGAGGGAAACTGCTCTTACACAGTGCCTAGGGTATAGTAGACGCTCAGTATGTCTTTGTTAAATTCTTCACCTCATTCTGTTTGGTTCAGCTTAGAACCATTTATTGAGTGTTTACCACGAACAAATGCTGGGACAGGGAAGTGGGAGAATCAGGAACGCAGTGAATAGGGCTGGATCCAGAGTTCTCCCGATCACTGTAGGCGTGGTGGGAACCAGTCCCCAAGATGAAGAGGAAGATGAAGAAGCTATTTGGGGAACTTGAAAAAGAAATGCTTTTATAATTCTTTTTAATGAGATTCTTCTTAACTCTTGGTTCTGGCTGAGGAAATTAAAAAGTATTTACCTATGTAAATATCATGAAAAGTATTTTATTTTTTCATTTTTCTGAAAGGCTTAGAGGGAAATTTTTCCTTGGATTTCAAAGAGCAGGGTCAGTGGACTGTTGTGGAATTGATTAGGTCCCATCTGTAGATAAGGCAAGGGGACGCCTGGGTCGGCGGGAAGTAGTGCTGCTCTGTGCCAGACAGACACCGTTATCTGATTTTATTTTTGCAGCAGTGTGGTGAAGGTGGCTGATGTTCCCTTTTACAGATGAGGAAATGGAAACCCAGCTTTACATATGTAATCATTGCCAGAGCAGGGATTGGGCACATTCTAGAAATCCTTGTTTTTACTGCAATACAAATTGCCCCTAAATTTGGGGCTTCAGGGGTGCCTGGGTGGCTCAGTTGGTTGAGCGTCTGCTTTTGGCTCAGGTCATGATCCCAGGGTCCTGGGATGGAGCCCTGCATCGGGCTCCCTGCTCGGCGGGAAGCCTGCTTCTCCCTCTCCCTCTGCCTGCCTCTCTGCCTGCTTGTGCTATCCATCAAATAAATAAAATCCTTAAAAAAATAAAAATAAAAATAAATCTGGGGCTTCATTCCACAGGAAGTATATAAAAGGTAACGGGTAGGCACAGCATAAAGATGGGTTGACACAGATAAACACATTACTTACCCACCAGTTTTGAGCATGGCTTTCACATTGATCACAACCACTTTCAGAAGTGAATGAAAGTCAACTTGGCTCAGTGTCCTGAGTACCCGTTCTTAGGTTTATTCGTTCTGTTTTGAATCACTGGAAAATGGCTGTCACACAAAGGTATACCCGATGAGCAATTTTGTTAGTGGCTCGAAGAATCGCTGGCTGTGTGCTCTCACGTACATCACTGGTTCCTCTGGTCCTTGGGTTTCTCATCCTAAACCGAAGGTGTTTGGGCCCAGGTCCTTCCCACCACGCTGATGCGGGATACTTAGGGAAAGTGTCTACCAGCCCCCAGAGGAGGTGGTGGCAATGAGATGCGGGAGGCTCCCACACAGTGTGCATATCTGCCTGGGGATGAAGAGTCACTTCCAAAACTGCCTGGTCGTGGAGGGAAATTCCTTTCTTTCTTCAGAGCAGTGACTTGTGATTCTTACGTTGGTATTCCAAGATGACTTTCCTCCTATAATGAACACAGTCCTGGAGACAGGATTCTTTTTTCCAGTACCGCTATTAATAATGACGTCTGTCATCGAGCACTTACTGTGAGCAGAGCTCTGTGCCATGGGTGTCACACACTATCCTGCAGCCGCCCTGCGAGGTAGGGAATTTCGTTCCCATTTGTAGATGAGGAACCAAAGCCCCGAGTGTCTCAGTTAATAGAGTGACCAAGTGGGATTTGGACCTAGGACTGACATGAAGTCAGACATTGCCTCACCACCTGTTGTGCTTTGTTTCTGAGGTTTTGAAAGGGGTTGGGAGCCAAGTTCCTTTTATGCTCACACTTCGCAAAGGCAGAGAGTCTGCTCTGTCTGAGAGGCTTCCGACACAGCCCCCCTTGCTTAGGAGGGCCTGGAAGCTGGCTGTTAAATCATGTAAGTTATTTTTCCTTTATTCATTGAAAACATAAATATTTTCCATGGAGTGATTGAACCATAATTGATTTAACCAGTCCCCTGTTGACAGACATTTGGATTCTTATCCTTTGCTATATAACAATATCACAATGAATGACCTTATGCATGTCATTTTATATGCATGCAGGAGGATCTGGGGGTGCATTTCTAGAAGAGGGTTTGCTGGGTCAAGGAGAAATGCATCTGCAGTTTAAGTGGGTATGCCAGATTCTCCTTGATAGCGGTTCAGTTGTTTTGTACTCCCCACAGGCTTGCCAAAAGAGGATGGCTTCCCACTTTTGGATTTTTCCCAATCTGACAGATGAGAAACAGTATCTGTTTTGTTTTAATTTGCATTTCTCTTATTTTTTAAAAAAGATTTATTTATTTATTTGAGGGGGAGAGGCAGAGGGAGAGAGAGAGAGACAGAATCTCAAGCAGACTCCCTGCTGAGCGCAGAGCACAACATGGGGTTTGATCCCACCACCCTGAGATCATGACTCTGAGATCAAGACCTGAGCTGAAACCAAGAGTCAGACGCTTAACCAACTGAGCACCCAGGCGCCCTGTATTTCTCTTATTTTTAATAAGCTCAAACATCTTTCCATATGCTTAAGGATTGTCTGTAGTTCTTTTTCTATGAGCTCTCTCTTCACAGCCTTTCAAATTTTCACGTATATTTTTTAAAATTAAGATTTATTTTTATCAAAGTACTACATGCAGATAGTTAACGAAGAGTAAAATACTATTTAAAGGCTTATAATGAAAAACAGAAGTTCCTCTTCACCTCCTCTACCCTTCAGTTTTGCTCATCAGAAGCCACCATTTTTACACTTAGCTGTTTCTTCTGGTATTATATTTATATTTCTTCAAAATATGCTTATCCTACTCTTTCCTGATTTCTTAATGTTAGACATCATTTACTGATTTCCAGATATGTCTGATAAGGGCTTAGCACTTACACCTAACTCCCTTACCATACACTTTCCTTTCTTACAATCTCTCAATATAATGTTATCACATTTTTTTGTTTAATTTGTATTAAGAATTTACATTATGTCCATGAAAACATTGTTTCCTGTTGAGCCAAGTTGTGTGATAATGTTACACTTTCTTTCTTGTAAAGCTTTTTATCTTTCCTGAAGTTAATAATTCATTCTTTTTTCCATTTGCTTAATTTGAGGCTATCTTTCACTCACAGCTTCTCACCATGATCTTTCATGTGGTCCAGTGCATCAGAGAATCTACCAGTTCCATTTACCCCCCCCCCCGAATCTTCCTCACTGACATCCTTTTATACATGTTCTTTGGACCTGCTGCCCAGCTATTGTCTAGCCGCATATGAAACCATGATGGCTGTAAACAGGGACTTTATTAGTAACTCAGACAATGTAGTTCCCTTTGGGGGCCTATTTAAAAGTCTTGAGTGGAATGAGGAAGTTGGGAAGATACATAGAGTTGAGGCTGAGAAAAGGGCAAAGGAGAATAAAGCTTTAAAAGTAGCTCATGACACACATTGAATGTCATACAACCAAATGGCAAGGTGTCCCTCATGGCAGGAATATCAAGGGAAGCATGATTTAACATTCATAATAATGCTTTTTAAAATGTTGTAAGAGAACTAGTGTCTTTTATAAGACTGAGAGAGCTGCCATTTGTCTTATGCCTTTGGACATGTCCCCAAATCAAAGTCTTTGGAACTGGTTGTGCATCCTGCATGCTGAACCCCTCCTCCCAAAGGATCTCCATCTAAACCAGTGGTTCTTGCCATTTTGGGGGTCAGGGAGCAACAAACTGCAACTATGGCACACCCCATAAGTGATGTTGACCCCTGAGAGCAATCACGTTGTGAGTCCCAGGGATGGCTGAGGGAAGGGGTGGTGATGAAGGGAGGGATCATCAGGTTTCTCACAGTCCTACCTCATGACTGGCCTTCCTACATGAAGAAAAAAGCTTGCAGACTGAGGCTGAGTCAACAGCAAGCTACTTTGTTGCTGCTGATGCCCCAAATCTGCCTGGACCTTGGCTCCTGCCTTGTACTTCTGTACCTCAGTCTCTGGGTTTGTTTCCCTGAGGCCATGATGAGGGGACTTTGACCACTGGCTACAAAAATCAAGCGCAGGTCAGGAATGGGAATGGTGTTGTGGGACCAATCTATTAATATTATTATTATATATTAACCAATTACTGTATGGCAGAAAGTGGGGTGAGAGGCTATTCTTAAACCATATGTAGAAAGTCTTTGCTTTTGCTACATAATAGTGTAAGGTGTCTACAAAGGAGCCAGCAAGTGTGGGTGATAGTGTAAGTGTAAAAGAAAACAAGAATGAGTTAGGGCCATCTGGGTCTGAATTAGAAATCTGGCTAATGGTGAGAGCACTGAAGGTGGCTGTCGCCGCTGTGGGGAACTCAAGCAAACTGGTGATTGTACTT